GTAGGAGAAAATCTTTATGAGCCACATATAAGACAAAGGTCTGATATCCAGTATATATAAGGAGCCCAAGAAACTAACCCCTCTCAAATCTAATAAACCAATCACTGAATGGGCAAGGGAGCTGAGGAGAGAACTCTCAGAAGAGGTAAGAATGACAGAGAAACATTTGAGGAACTACTCATCATCCATAAAGGAAATGCAAGAGAATTTAACTGTCATTGGTATGAAAAAAAAATCATAGGTAGAAAGATTTAAAGAAGGTTAAAGAATATCTCTTTGGGAGTATAACGGGGTGTCAAAGAAATGGGGGGACTCAGGTTGAATACATACAGCAGTGGTCCTCACTTGATATATTGTTGAAAATGACCTATACAATTTACAGGTGAGTATGGAAAGGAAAATCTAGGAGAAAGCAAGGGAAAGTGTAACATTGTCCAAAAAGAAATGTACTTTTTACCTGACTTATGTAACTATAACCCGTCTCTACATCACCTTGAAAAGAATAATTCAAAAAAGAAAAAAGGCTAAATATTTAGGCAAAATGTACACATGTGGACAAGAGTTCTTAAAATGGTACAATAAATAATATAATAAAGTTAAGACTTATGAATAAATAGAATTTTAGTATTTTCTTAACAAAAATGACATGTGATGAAGTCATGATTATCTGCGTGTCATAATCAACTTGATAAAATCAAATTAATTCCATAATTTCCATTTTAAACATCAATTATACATAATAAAATTGTGTTAACATTACCAAATGATGGTTGTAATTTTTTTCATAGAAGATAAAACTGTTCATGGTAGCCTGAGACTGCTCTGAGACACCAGGTCCACAGGAAATGACCTGCTGGTTCCAGCTCTCTGACTCCCTGGGGTGTGCTCCCCTTGAAACTATTACAGGCACACTGCAGGAGCACCCTGTGCTGAAGAACAAGATAAAGGAACAAACAAGGCCTTGTGTCTCCAGCCATCTCCAGTTCTCCTGGGTTGCAGCTGTCCAGGAGGTAGCCTATTTCCCACACTTCCATAGTCCTCTGACTACCAGGTGCTGAAATTGATCATGTTTTAGGTGTTTTGCCTGGCACACATTGGATTTGTTTAATTGAGGAACATATGGAAAACATGTGCTTCAGAGCCACCATGAACACATGGATACACTAGGTGAGATACAAATTAAGAGAGTCAGTTTACAGGAAGAATATATACAAGCTGTTGCATGAGTATTGAGATGGTTAACATTCTCTGTCAAGGATGGTTTCCTGATTGCTGGTTTGTCCTGGGCCTGTTTGCTATGGTGGACATGCTGACTGTTTTGTAGGATTAACGTTCCAAGTTCAGTTTCAGTCATGATGGAGATAACGTCCTTATGAACAAAACTTACCACTATTGTAGAGTCAGAAATAGAATTGCAACTCACAGTCATGATGTCGTGATATCATGGATTATATCACAGTGCTTTGAAAAGTTGAAAGGACAAAGATAGTTCATTAAAACATTTAAAGGTATTAAGAAAGTAAAATATAGATTATATGGCTGATTTCATAAGAATTCATCTTACTACCTCGCCATCTTCTGTATGTTTGTTTGTTCCTAAGGAAGGCAAACATTTCTCAAGTAATATACCTCCTTTCTCCTTCACAGAGCTTCAGGGAACAAATTTACCAATCACTATGTAGGCAGTATCATTCTGATACTCTTAACTCTGTTGCGTTTATTTAATTATCATATCCTATAACATCCTGGTTAGATTTCTCTCTTCTTTTATCCAATAGCTTAAATGCTTAGTAAAAGTTCAGAAATAAGAATTATAGAAATATGATCATAGCAATAGTAGTAAAAATTTAATTAATGTGGTAATAAATATAATAATGAATGCTGCACTGAGTATGCACTATCTAATCAGGCTCTGGCTCCTATGTCTTTTTTTATGTTGGTGGTGTTTTTGATCCTGTCTCATTTAATCTTCAAAATTTTACCATGTGGCATGGATGATAAATATTTATTTCAAAACTGGGAGAGCGCTAGGGAAGAGTTGACATTGTCCAAAAAGAAATGTACTCTTTACTTGACATATGTAACTATAATCCTTCTCTCTATATCTTTTAAAATAACTAAAAATAAAAAATATTGCAGATATTATTTCACAAGTGATCACTGTTCCATATACAAGAGATCGAAACTTAAATATTCTCAAAATATATTTTTTCTCATATCTTTGCAGAGTATTAGGAAGAATACTGCTTATGTTTCTCTTTTATTATCATACAATTATATAATAATTTGAGTCAATAGCGCACTAATTCCTAAGGAAAGTAGAGTTTTATGCATCTCTTATACATATTTTCTGTATGTTGTCTGCTTAAGGTAGTGATTGTACTTCATCTTATTTAGTATTTGATTCAGTCTCCAATATAATTGAGACCTTAGTCCGTGTATTATTATGAGTAACAAATCAGGTTTTGTTTAATCTGCTGGTCACTAACTCAAACTGGCATATGTCTGCTTTTGGAAAAGTATCAATTAGATTAGTGATAAGGTTTTTGTAAACACCAAAATAATTTTATATTCTCATATATTATAAAATGTAAGTACACATAGATTCTACTTAAAGTTTAACCAATGATATGTTGTGAGAATAACTTTTTTTCAGGGAGAAGTCACAGAATTTTCCTTATATCTTTTGATTTGTTACTTTTGTTTTTTTTTTTTAATGTGTTTTATTGTGAAAATACCATACAGAGGGGTTACAATTACATGAGCAAGGTATTATCAAGCATTGTGCTTCCTCCTTTGTTTTTCCCTACCATCCCTGCCCTCCCAGCTCCTGGACTGCACTCCGCCCTCACCCCTCCACTCCCCCCCAAAAAAATCACCTTATAAATACGTTCGAAACAATAGCAAGAAAGAAAAAAACACTTTTACACGTTTAACCACCATTATTTCTTTATCACTTCGGTAAATAGTGACAGAGAAATTGATGCCAAAACTATATGTGTAGACACCAATGTTAACAAAAATAGTCCTGTTATAGCAAAGTTAAAAGAAACACTTTTTATAAATTATTTTAATTTAAAAATCAGCACAGAAATGGGACTAATTTAATTATAATTACTTAAAATTAATGTAGTTTGGCTTATAATAATATTGGAAACAAAATAAAAAAAATAAAAAAAATCTGTGTTTAAGTCCACTGGTAAAAAGTCTAGATATCAATTTAGCAACTTGGAAGAAAAAATCTTTGGACACCTCTATGTTAACAGGTATAATGTTATTTCAGAACAGGGATGATTTCAATAGTAAGCAGCTAAGAACACTTCTATTCAAAATTGAAATTAATACACAAATACTGACATGTTTGTCCAAAAGATCAGAAAGAATGATATCGTCCCATTTGTTAGGGCATAATAAAGACTTGGAAAAACTTATATTAAGTGAAGTAAGCCAGGACCAAAGAAACATAGGTCCTATGATTTCCCATATTTGCAATAACTAGTATATGTCTGGGAAAAGAAGAAAAGTTCAAAAGCTATGTACATATTATCAGATAAGTTGATGTTAAGGGAAACGAACCCCAGGAAAGGGACACATGTGGTTTTTTTTCTTTCTTGCTATGGTGCGTAACCTATTTATAAATGTACCATGTGGTTTTTTGTTTCTTTGTATGTTCCTCCCCCACAGTGTAACCCCTGTTTTCACTGTATTTGATGACGATGCCCTGCATCTTGTATACACATTTCTCTAGCTTGGGGAGGGGAAGGGAAAAAACAAAATGCTTAAATAGGGATACTGGTTGACCCATTGTAACAATGAGATGTACAAGATACTCTGTTGATAAAAGAACTTTGTGATTTAAGCAGTGAGGAGGGAGGGAGGAGAGGGGGGAGTGTAGCTGTGGAGGGGAGGGAAGGGATGGCAAGGGAAAAACAAAGGAAGAGGTAATGATGCTTGATAGGAAATGTACCCATTACCTTGCTCATGTAACTGTAACCCCTCTGCACAGTGTTTTTACAATGAAAAACGAATTTAAGGCAAAAAAGATTCTTTGATTATTTTCTATGCTTAAGTCAGCTAGTATCATTTGTTAAACACTATTAGAAGCCAAAGCGTTCAATTGTGAAGAGATATTTTTAAACTATTTTATCGTGTAAGGAATAAATAAACATGCATTTTTTGGAAATCTCAAAATAAGAAGAAGTAAAATATTTTCTTCATCACTGTGGATTCAGAATAAACAATATATTCATTATTTACATATTAGGTTGAAAATATTTCCAGTAAAACAAAGACTAAGCAAGATATTTGCTAATTACATATTCATATTTATAGGAAAGTCTTGGAAATAATATGATATTCTTTTAATTTTTGCTTATGAGAAATGAACTTAAAATAATATTCAGTTATATTGCAAATTTTTGAATATAAGGTACATAGAAATCATTTCTGGCAGCTTCTATGTACCCAAAATATTTTAGAAGAATATAGTATATAGTGATGAATAAATCTAACATCAAGTTAGATCACTATAGGAACAAAAAAGAAACAACAATATTCTTAGTTGAAACACTAGAAGTGTTAGCTATGCCAAATGAAATACTTATGAGAATAAGAATGATTAGGCAATCAAGGATTAGAGCTAGATATTAGACTTCAACAGGCAGCACAGAAGTAGGCATTCTTGAGATGCAGTCATTTTGGAGAAAACTGGAATTGCTGAAGGGTACGGGATGATTGAGAAGTAGGAGACACAATGCTTTCAAAATAATAAATGACACTGGTTTGTGTAAATTAATATCCACCTTTAAAGCATGTTCCATTCAAAAACTGATGAAGACACTTTTAATGTGAATTTATAATATGCATCTTTAACTCGTTTATAACATAGTTCGGTACTGTATTATAATTATGTAAACTATTGTGCTTGTGATATAAATACTTTCTCATTAGTGTTGCCATTATATATGTTCTTCTTTTTTATTTATAGGTAAAATTTCATTATGAGCCATGGAAATCACACATCCAATAGTGACTTCATACTTGTGGGACTCTTCTCTTCTTCTCAAGCAAGTCTAGCTTTCTTCTCATGTCTATTTATCACCTATGTTATGACCTTAACAGAAAATGCACTCATGATGCTCCTTATCCGAGGAGACTCACGACTCCATACACCAATGTACTTCCTGCTAAGCCACCTCTCCTTCATGGATATCTTGCACACTTCCAACATTGTCCCCAAGATGATCACCGACTTTCTGTCCGGAAGCAGAACGATTTCCTTTGTGGGGTGTGGCTTCCAGCTGTTTTGGTCTCTTGGTCTACTGGGTGGTGAGTGCCTCCTCCTGGCTGCCATGTCCTATGATCGCTATGCAGCCATCTGCCACCCACTGCGCTACCCAGTGCTCATGAAGGATGCTGTCAGCAGGCTCATGGCTGCAGGGGCCTGGCTGGTTGGGACCCTCAACTCCATAGTTCACACAGTAAATATCATGCATTTATCCTTCTGTCATTCTAGGGCCATTGATCACTTTTTTTGTGAAATCCCTGCTTTGTTGACACTGTCCTGCGTAGACACATCACACTATGAAAGAATAATATATATAAGCGGAATTATGTTTCTATTGACCCCATTCTTCATCATCTCCTTATCTTACATACAAATTTTGCACACTGTGTTCCAAATGAAATCCTCACAGGCACAAAAAAAGTCCCTTTCCACCTGTTCCTGTCACATGGTTGTGGTTACAATGTACTATGGACCATGTATCTTCACCTATATGAAACCAAGGTCCTACCACACTGCAGGCAAGGATAAATTCTTGGCTATATTTTACACCTTTGTCACACCCATGCTTAACCCCATCATCTATAGCTTTAGGAATAAAGATGTTCTGGCATCTGTTCAAAATATGCTCCAAAGAAACTTCCTGTACAAAAAATGAATAGAAACATGCGTACATATTTTATTCTGCCCTTTGAATATGTTAGATGATAGGTCTAATGATTGTTTTCTATTATGATACTAATAATTATTATTCCTATTGGATGTCGGACTTCAACTCGGCATAGGCAATATCCCTGTGTTCCTTTTGCTCAAAGTTAGTGATCTACAACTTTGATCCACAAGACTACTTCTGCTTTCCTGGAAGTTATGTGAAGAGGAGTTACAGTCACATAAGTAAGGTAATAAGTACATTTCTTGTCAAACTTGTTACCCCTCCCTCATTTTTCTCCCACTTACCTCATCTTCCAATTTGTACAGACCATTTGCTACCCAGTGTCTTGTGACCTAGTGTCTGTTGCATTGGTTCTTCCTCACCATTTTGTTGTTCCCATTCCCTTCCCTGATTCAGACAAATGTGTAAACAATATCTAGGGTGCCAAAATCAAACACAGTGACAAAAGGGGTAAGCCATAGAGGGAAAAACACAAAACAAAAAGAAATCATGTACTCCATTGAAAATAACAACAACAAAGAAAAACTTCTTGTGTCCATGTCTTGGAGTTCATTTTGCTTAGTGTCGTCTTGTATGGTCACATGTACCTAGCTATTGAGCTGTTCTGCTCATCTGCTAAGATTATACTAGATACATACTAATTATTACAAATAAGGGAAACTGTGGCAGTTGAATTAGTTTCATTTTTTTGTTTGTTTGTTTTGTTTTTCTGGTTGATAGTGGTTTGAACTCTGGGCTGGGTGCTGTCTCTCAGTTCTTCATCTCCAGGTGAAGCACTATACCACTTGAGATATAGTGCCACTTCCTGTTTCCTAGTGGTTTTTGTTGGAGATAAGAGTCTCACAGACTTTCCTGCTAGGATTGGCTTTGAACAGGATCCTCAGATCTCAGCCTCCTAAGTAGATAGGATTATAGGTATGAGCCACTGGTGACCAGCAGTCGCATTAGTTATGAAAGTTTGTCTATTTGAACTGGGTTCAAGAATAATCTTTATTATCCAAATGACCAAAAAAATTATAGTAATAAAATCAAAATGGATTTTTCCATGAATAAATTTTAATTAGTACACAATAACATTTGTCCATCTAGTCCATGTTCAGTTCAACCACTTAAAAGATGCTATAAAATATATTCTTTTAGTTGAAAATGTATAAAAATATACTGGCATAACAAATGTAGTTATTAAGAACAGAAATTAAAATTTTTATACAACCTCTTGTGTCCATGTCTTAATGTACCACGTGATTTCTTCTTTCTTTTGTATGTTATTCCCACTATGGTATGACTCCTGTTTTCACTGTATATGATTTTGGTTCCCTGCTATTGCAAATACATTTCTGAATTAGGGAAGGGAAGGGGAACAACAGAATGGTGAGACAAAGGACAAGGGGGAGCCAATGCAACAGCGATACTCACAAGACACTATGTTGTAAATGATCTGTACAACTTGGAGGTGGGGAGGGAAAATGGGAGAAAAATGAGGGAGGGAGTAACAAGTGTGACAAGAAATGGACTTATTGCCTTACTTATGTAAATGTCACCCCTTTGTATGTAACCTTGACAAGTAAAAATTTAAAAATATTTAACCCATCTAACCCACAAAAAGTTAGCAATATCCTGATTCAGGTGGCTCACATGTGTAATCCTCACTACATAGGCCCCTGATTTCTGATGACTATGGTTCAATTCATTATGGACAGCAAAGTTTATGACTCTTAAACACGATAAAGTTTAAACTGTGGTTCTGGGCATTGTCCCTTTTTTAATTTTTATTTATTTATTTTATTAAAGCTCGTACTCTTCCAGAGAAGCCACAGTTCACTTCTGGCTTTTTGGTGGAAAATTGGAATAAGAGCCTCACAGACTTTTCTAACCCTGCTGGCTTTGAATCACAATCCTCAGATTTCAGCCTTCAGAGTAGCTAGGACTGTAGCTATAAGCCACAGTCACAGCTCAAAACTACTAGTTTATTTTATTATCACTGTGTGCGTGCATGCATGTGTGTGTGTGTGTGTGTGTGTGTGTGTGTGTGTGTGTGTGTGTGTGTGTGTGTTTGTGTTATGTGTTATATGCAGGTCCTGGGGCTTGAATTCAGGGTCTGGGCATTGTCCCAAAGTTTTTGTGCTCAAGTCTAGTGCTCTACCACTTGTGCTTGCATATACAGTTTTTAAGACATTAATTGACAAGTATCTTAAGGACTTATTGTCCAGACAGACTTCAAAAATGTTACTTTAATCTCATCCTCCTGATTAGTTAGTATTACAGGCATGAACTACTGATGCCTGGCTTTTCTTAGCTTTTGAAAAAATACATGTATCATAAAAGTTGCACTACAACTTGAGCCATGACTCACTCTGGCATTTTGCTCATTGGTTGGCCATACAGACTTGAGGACAATCCTGCCTGAGTTCACTTTTGACAAGATCCTCTAAATCTCAGACTCCTGAATAGCTAGGATTACTGGCATGAGATACAAATCCCCATTACACTTAGCATTTTTAAATGAGCAAAGCATTAATAGTGTACAATATTATATAATATTAAAGCACTATCAAAAATATTTCTTCACATCATAGCATTTACCTATCTACTGAAACACATTAAATATCCCTAAAATAGAACCAGAAGCTTTTGGATTTTTTTGGTCTGGATTTGACATATGTGCATTGCCTATTTTGGAAAACACATTGACAGGAACTAAATTATATATGAAATAAAATATGTTTCATTTATACATCTACACATAACCTGCAGGTTATTGTATACAATGATTTGAAATTTTTGTTGAGGAAATGAAATTTATGTGCAATGAAACCCAAGAAGAACATCACTATGCCAGCCACCTTGGGGACAATCTGTGCTTGTTGATACCATTATTTTTCCTGTGAATTTGCACACTGTTAGAAAGTATGTATTTATGTTTTACATTTACTCACGTTCATGTACTTACAAATTGAAGTATTTCATATCATCAATGCTGTGAGAGTCATGTTCTCACGGTAAGGAACTTGTACAAAATCCTCAACACAGATCTGTGTAAGTCGCTAAACTCCAGAAGTGAAAAACAATGGTAACCTCTACCTCCTCCACCTCTCAGCTGCATCAGGGCATTATATTGTACTAACTTTGCTACAAAAACCCAAGGAACAGTTGACAGACCTGAAATAGGTCTAATTGGTTTGAGGAGTCATTCCATTAAATGTTTTTCATCAATTTTTTCCTTAAAGTCATTTATATTACCAACAATTGATTTTCTGTTAAAATCTGCTCATTACTTTCATAAACAATTATTTTTTCTGTTCTGAAAAATTCATTTCATTCTAAAATGTTCATATGTGGACACATCATGTCAGAACAAGAAATTTATATATATCTACAGAACTTTGTCTACTAATTAGCTGAGAGGCATAAGCCACCTTGCCAGAAAAACTTTTTCATTTTTCATATTTTGTTTTGAATTGATAAAAAATAAGCAACTCCAATTTTAGATTCTTTAATTAAAACCATTTGGCAGATAGTGTATACACTTTAAGTATTTCATAAATAAATACACACAACAGAAAATGACAACTACAATAATTTTATTGGCAATTTCAAATATTAATTCTACTCAAATAATTAAAAATAATTATTGGAAAGAGAGGTTCATATAATTGTCCTTTTTAGATTCTACAGGGAAAATAAAATATATAAATACATATGTATATTTACACAAATCATTGTACAATCTGAATACAAAATATTTATAAAATTTAGAAAAAATGTTGTGTAATATTTATTGTGTTGAGAAATATTATTATTGTTCAAGTTTTCTTCCTGATGGATATTAAGTCTAGCTTACTTTCATAAACTTCTTATTGTCTTTAGCTGAAAAAAACAAAATTATTATATTTCAGTTTCTTTATATTGAGTCAAATATCACCTTTACTATAATCTCTACCTTCTTTTCTTTCTTTTTTTTTTTATTGTGAAAATACTGTACAGAGGGGTTACAATTACATGGGCAAGATAATGAGTACATTTCTTTTTCTTTTTCTTTCTTTTTTTTTGGTACTAGGGATCAAACCCAGGACATTGCACTTGCTAGGCAAGCGCTTTGCCACTGAGCTACATCCCAGCCCATGAATACATTTCTTATCAAGCATTGTAGCCTCCTCCTTTGTTTCCCCTTCCCCTCCCATCCTCCTCCCTCCCACCCACTCCCAACCATTCTCCCCCCCACCAAAGTTGTAAAGTTCTTTTTCGACATAACGACTTGCACATTGTTGCAGTGGGTCAACCTGTAACCCTATTTAAACGATTTGTTTTTCTCTTCCCTTCCACAAATTATAACAACATCAAATAACCCCTGTATTTCACTGTATTTGATGCCTTCTTTTCTAAATCAAATAACCAAGCAATATAATATCCTCCAAACTACCATACCATGTACTACTCAAGTTTAACTAAACTGGATGAATGTTTGCTATTAGCACCTTCTTCAAAACTAAGGAAATGTTTATAACTCAATTACTTGTAAAAACAAGGCCATTATCAGAAAATTCACTTTTTTAGGAAATGTTGAAAGAGGTGATAGAAAATTATAAAGAAGTATGAATAAATGTATAGAATACTTCTATACTTTTATATGTATATATATATATATATATATATATATACCACATGAGGATATATATATATATATATATATATATATATATATCACAGGACAAATATACAAAAGGATATATATTTCACATGAGGGTGTGTATATATATATATATATATATATATATATATATATATATATATATATATACCACATGAGGATATATATATATATATATATATATATATATCACAGGACAAATATACAAAAGGATATATATTTCACATGAGGGTGTGTATATATATAAAACATGTATCGGGAATATATGTGCCCTATGGGGAAAATGTTCATGAAATTGGACTGTATAATATGCTGTTTATTAAATAAACTATAATTT